CCTCAGTCAATACTGCAAATGCTACACCTTGTCCCACCTTGATCAGTACTACAATAGCTATGCCCATAGGCCAAAATTTCATTTCACTGTTGGGGGGGGGGGGCAATACATAGAAAATACAGAACTTTTAGAAAATAGAAAATGTACTCAAGAACAGTTCTTGAGGGGGACACAAAACATGCTACTTGTAATAAATGTATGTAAAGGAAACCCTTATAAGTATTATATATACCACATAATTGATCGGTAAACAGCTTAAGGTTATTGTGTTCAAAGGTTTCAAATACATTATTAATTAAATACATTCATTCTGTTCTTATGAAGACTTTATCAAATTGCCTATCATATCACTGGGGACTTTTTTTGTGCATTTTGATGCACTGAAAAATGATCATATGTCTGTTTTCCTTTTTGCCATTTTGCCTGTCTGACAAAACACAGCATGCAGGTTATTTACAGTAGGAGAGAAGCAACACCCATTAATTAGCTAATAAAGCTGAAGATTCACCCATGAGGTACCAGAACAAACAAGATGCAGACTGGTTACAAATGTAAATGTGTGTTGTTCTACTGAGTGGTAAAAGTAAAGAAACATCCACGGTTTTAAGTGAACATTTGCAAAGTAGCCACTTACTGGTGGTCAGCCACCACTGTGCCACACACACTGATATTGGGCTAATGTGTGGTAGTGGGATCGGCAGGGGGCCAAACACTGTGAGGGAACGGGGGGACGAAATCTTTCCAAACTGAAAAAATGCATTGTTTTGCATTTATAATTTGCAGTATATATTATTAAATTATTTTAAATGACATATTTAGGTTTTCAATAATATTCAGTCCTCATGAAGGGGGTGTCCTGACCCTTCTGTCCCCCTCAGGATTTATGCTTTTGGCTACAGAATCATTACCAGTTGTGGGGTCTCATTCCACTGCTACGCCGATGACACTCAGCTCTACTTGAAGCTGGGTAGCAATGCGTCTGAGGCCCCTTTCACTTCATCAGCCCCTTCGATATCTACGCCCTTCACTCCACCCACACTCACCGCCTGTCTGGATAAGATAAAGGCATGGATGGAGCAAAATTTCCTTCATCTTAACAGCTCAAAAACTGAAGTGATTCAAATTGGCACTCCACACCAAATTCAACAGCAAAAAATCGTCACTATCTCTTTCTCCGGTCAGAACATCTCTCTTTCTAAAACAGTCACCAATCTTGGTGTTATTTTTGACCCTCAACTTACTTTTGAAAACCATATCAAGCACATTTGCAAAATCTCCTTTTTCCATCTTAGAAATATTGCTAAACTCCGGCCTACACTATCCCTTTCTGATGCAGAAAAACTAGTGCATGCCTTTATCTCCTCCAGACTGGATTATTGTAACGCGCTTCTCATCGGGATTCCTGGCAAAAACATACAAAAACTTCAGTATGTTCAGAACTGCGCTGCCAGGGTCCTCATGAGAGTAAGGAAACATGAGCACATCACCCCCGTGCTCCGCTCCCTTCACTGGCTTCCCGTTACTGCACGGATAACCTACAAAATTTCCCTGCTTACCTTCCAATGTCTGCATGGTGATGCGCCAGCATATTTAAAAGAACTCCTCACTCCCCACTGTCACCCGCACACGCTCCACTCCACCAATACACACCTTCTCCTCCCTCCCAGGACTCGCTCCCGTAACACTGGAGATAGGGCCTTTTCCAGTGCTGCCCCACGGCTGTGGAATGCCCTTCCTCTACATCTGAGGGCTCCACAGACTGTTACATGTTTTTAAAAAAACCTAAAAACGTTTCTTTTTAACCAATGTTTTTAATGACTGCTTAACTAACTGTTTTATTCCTCTTTTATTGTTGTTTTTAATTGTGACATTCTCTCACTGTCTGTATGCACTTTGAGATCTTCTATGTAAAATGTAAAGTGCATTATAAATTAAATTTATTATTATTATTATTATTATTATTACAGCCTGTCCCACCTCAGTCAGCACTACAATAGCTACAGCCTGTCCCACCTCAGTCAGCACTACAATAGCTACAGCCTGTCCCACCTCAGTCAGCACTACAATAGCTACAGCCTGTCCCACATCGGTCACCACTACAATAGTATCTAGTATTGCTGGCTTTGATCCATCCAACCATCCAAGTTGTTCAGGCACAGAATGCCAGGTGGGGGTAGGTTCTGAATGGTCACATACAGATCTCTGATTGGGGGGGGGGGCTTTCTTTGTAGACCCTGGAGCCATCTATGAGGTCAAGCTGGTGGCGTTCAATGGCAATGGCGAAGGGAACTGCTCCAAGCGCCTGGTCTCCCTGACGGAGGATGGGACGAGCGCCAAGGCCAACGGTGAGAGTAACTTCAGGAGTACATTGTGGAGTAACCCCCCCCCCCCCAAGCGAACCCAGACATGCCATTTAAATGTAGCACCCTGATCCTGTCACTCCCAGACTGCTTTCAAGAAGCTTTTGTCAGCTGTAGGAGGTGGAGCGTGCAGTCCGAGACCAAAAGTTCTGTATTTATTAGAGTGTTACGCCTAATCCAGAGTCTGCTGGGTGAAAAAAGGCTAAACAGACCCAGCAGGGCGCAGTGAGAAAGAAGGAGTGTGACACAGTGGACCGACCTCTCGGGTCCACGCAGCGGGGCGCAGTGCCGCGGTAAATGTCACAGAGCAGTGCTGATGTCACTGGAGGGCGGATGGCAGGATGCATGCTGGGAGAATGGTGCGAATTTGCTCACCCTTCACGATCGGTGTGTGAGCCTGGGGGAGGTATCTTTGTGTGTGCAGTGCTGTCGCGGTGTTATGTCTCCCTCCGCGCTGATGTGTGTTTATGTCCCAGAATTCACAGTATCTGCGCGAGGCAGCTGTGTGCTTTTTGATGTCAGGGGGTTCAGTCGTTTTTTACGCTTGTCACTGGTTCCTTTATGCAGGTCATTATCGATCTTGACATGTCCGGGGAGGGACAGGCAGCTCCTCAGTGACGTGACACCCGGCATGTCAATGTGTCAAACACAGGAAATAAAGCTTATCTTTCACAGAGACACTGTGAAACCTCCTGGTTTGCGAGAAGGTTCCGCTTTTCAGAACCCCACTCACAATTCAGAAACGTCCATGGCGGCCTTCGTGTACAAAATGGTTTAGGACATAGAATTGGACTTCATACAGCCTCTGCCATGTCTCTGCATGACCACCAGAGGGAGTCTCCGGGCAACATCACTCTCAGAAATTATTTAATGTTTACAGAAGATCAAGTCTGATCATTTTTGGACATTTTCTGTGTAGATACTGATATCCTCCTTTTTTTTCTTTTAACATGCTGTGTAACAGTGAAGTTGTGATTACAGTTTAATTGGTTGCAACACCCGTGATTTTTTTTTTCTCAACTGACCTACAGTATTATGTCTAAAGAGCATTATTATGACCTTTTATGTTCTGCAGGTTATGATTCTGCATCTGTGATCCAAAGGTTGCTGGTTCAGACCCCTTGGATTTTTACCATTGGGCCCTTCAGAACAGGCTTTAATTCCAGCTTCTTCAGGGGCTGTTTGCCGCTGATTTCTCAGCTTTACAGTGCTTTGGATAACCTTGCCGGCTTATTAAATGTAATGTAAAGCCTCAGAGGCCGGTTTGTAGCTCTAGCGGCACATTACCTCCGCAGCGCTGCTCTGAGTCAGCGTCCTGGGGCCATAACAGGTCTTTTTCCGTCCTCGGGGTCGCACAGGAGGAGAAGGACCCTGTGACTGCCGGCAGGAGGGCGAGGGCTCGGTGGCGGGCATCGTGGTGGGCATCCACATCGGCATGGCCTGCATCATCTTCTGCGTGCTATTCCTCATGCTGGGGTACCGCCGCAGGTAAGGGCAGCACTCGCTCCACCCTGGGGGGTCCATCTTATCCAGCCCGCGGGGATACTTTGATCCACTGGCCAGCTGGCTGCTTACCTCGTATCACATGACCAGTCTGGCATTCACTGGAACCCAAAAATCTGTGGCTGTGACGCGAGGGTCCATGTGGCCCGCTGGGGGTGACTCAGACACATTTTAAGCAAATGAGTAGTTGGAGCGTACAGTATCCCCACTGAGACGGGCCACATGACACAAAGGCACTATTTCAAAAGCTGCAGCCTGTGAGATTGCGACAAAGCTAGACACTTTCTGATTTTCTTACAATTTATGGACTGTATCTATTTGATGCGTGTCTGTTTGTCACTTAGGTTAGCTGGTGGCATAAAACTTAAGGACGTTCGCTCCTAATCTTAATTTTGGTGGTTTGTATATGCCAGAAGAAGCCATATTGCAGAGCTGCTGAATACTACTGTTCAGTGTTTTGTATTACACTACTGTTCATCCTGGACTCTTGTTTTGTATTGGACTCCGTGTCCCTTATCCCTGTGCACAAGCGTCCCCTACTGTCCCCTATCCTGGCAGAAGAATCTCAATGTGTTCCTCTGAATATGTGATGATAAAACTTGAAACATGTAACATTTATATACTGAGCTACATAAATACGTACACAATAAGCTGCATAGTAACCAACAGGAAATGCATTACACGGCTGTGTAATCTGCGTAGTATGCTCTGAAGGTCCCACTGGTAAAAATGACGACACGAGCATCTAAGACCTAACCGGTTCTCCACATAGAGTAGCTGTAGTCTTTCACTCTGGGGTAATCCTATCCCAAGTGTAGCAGATGCCTCCTTGTGTTTAACTGTGTTAGAATTTTAATCTTGATGCAGGAGGTGGAGGCATTTTCCTGCTGCCTGGCAGCCTGCTTGGGATCACTTATGCGTCACTAATCCTCACATGCTGGCGTTAGACCAGAGTTCTGTTCTCTCTGCCTCTGGGGTTTCACCAAACACTTGCCAACGTTGCAGAGTCCGGTGTCAGTGAGTTCATCTTGTTCCCTCCGCCCAGTCGTTTCTGCAGGAAAGGGACCCAGGACAGCTGGTCTGTTCCCCGGGGCGATGACGCAGGCCACCACCGGCACAGCAACGGGGGTCCCAAAGAGGCGGGGCCACGCCCAGCTGGCACCATGGAGTTAGAGCCTCAGGTGGGAAGAGAGCTTGAGGCTACGTGCACACTGCTATGTTTTTGTTTCAAAATGCAGACATTAGTCCCCGTTTTTGCCATTCATCCGCACTACCCTGGAGTTTTCACAGTCACGTACTTCGGGAAATTCCATTTTAGAGTTTCAGAATGGATGAGTGAAAACGGAGACTTTTGAAAACGCAGACTTTACAAGTGTCATAATTGGTGCCGACTCCTCACATGGCCCATCCCTGATTGGATCCCACTTGCGACCTCTCATTGCCTGATTGGTCACCTGGTCGTCCTACACTGAAGTAAACAGTATTCCAGTACGCCGGATACGGAGGAGCTGCTTTCAAAGCCGCTTTCCCTGTTGCTGTATCTAGCTAAATAGCGTGTGACACAGATGACTGCTGCATATTTGCAAAGATATTAGCTAATTTACTGATCACTGTGTAAATCCACAAATGCCCTGTGTAGGATATTAGCTAGACCATATACGTTTTTGCTAGTTTCAGGGTGGGTGGAAATACTTTCGGTTCGAAAACGCCAGTGTGGCTGGAGATCATGTTTATTTGAGGACATAGCAGCGTGGACGTGGGCTAAACGCCTTTTTGTGATAATACTTTGGGCTGCTGAGTGCCCATGTTTGCTTTACATTAGTAAGTAGTCAGTTTTGATATGATATTGCATTGTCTGTGATGTCTGCCAGGCTAAGAGTAGTAAGTGTATGTAAGTTATGCTCATTACGTCTTTTTTTTTTTAGAAATCCAGGTACTGCAGTTTCAGCGACTTGTGAAACTATTAGGCCCCAGCTGTATGAAAACTGACTGTGACAGATCTTTGGAATGAATCTGCCTCCTTTCTCTTCCACAGAGCCGCGGCTCCTCCGCGCACTGTGACGAGCGCCAGGGCGTGACCCAGCCTGCTCAGTGCCAGGTCCTCATCGAGCAGCACCCAACCGACCTGCTAGGGACGGGCATCAGTTAACTGGACCCATTCACCCCCCCCCCCAGTCCCTCACCCCTCACCCCACCAACCCAGGTCACCATTGCTGGCTCCCCCCATTCTCACCTACCCAGCCTTAGTGCCCTCACCAGTAGGGGGGGGGGCAACTTTTGCCTTGAAGTTATCTCAATAAGCTGCTAAAAGTCAGGCACTGACACAGACCGCAGACAGAAGCTGGCAGCAGGTGGCCGTGACCCTCAGTCTGGAATGTATGTGTGTTACTGAGGTCATCTGTGTGCACACGGCACCATGTCCCCCCCCCCTCCCTGGAACCAAAGCAAGGCTGCCGTCACCTCCTGTTTCCATGGATGCCAGCATGGATACATGGATAGTGAACAGAAATAGTGTTTCTGATGAGGCAAGCTAAGCACGGTACTGTGTTTTATACCGCATTTCCATTGTATATTACTACATGAGCCTCCCTATAACCAAAATATTTATTTCAATGGCTCCTTGTGGTAATATTACAATCTTATGTTCAGTGAGATTCCTTCAAATGCAGGACAGAAGCCTTGTAAATTGTGCAGGCTTTATTCAGGTCCAGGCCTAGTCCCTGGATGAGAACTTGCACCATCACCGAGGACGGTCTTACAGGCTGTGACGCCACAAGTGTAGACTGCTGTACCAAAAATGGCGGACTCAGTGGTCTGGACTGACTCCTGCGGTAGTGGTGCTACATCTTAGAGGGTTTAGGGGACCACACCCCCTCGCAACATCCTGTGTGCAGGTTTTGCAGCATAAAGCACGGTACCACACGGACTGACAGGGATGGGAAACCCATGGATGTTTTTCACCATTTCAACCTCAAGGAAAGCTTTTCTGGAGGAATAGTGGATGTAAACCCTTCCCTTGGTGCAGCCAGGACCTGCCCCCCACCCAACTCAAAAAGATCTATACATCCAAAGATAGCTACCTCAACCTGACGAGAGCTTTGAAGCCATTGAAGTGTTTGCCTGTGATGCTGCTGCTCAAGCAGGCCTACCTCTCCCCAAGCCATTGACCCTCCTGGTCCTTTTACTACAGCTTCGCCTGACCCTGCCACCAGCATGCAGGAGTCCGGTCTGGATGGAGCCACCTGCTTCATGGTCACACCGTATCCCCACCACCCACCTGCTCATCTCTCTTGGTCCCATAAGATTCTTCGCATACTCTCGTGATCGCTCCAGTATCGCAGGTGTGCCGGGTTGCCATGTTGTAAAGTGTTTTTTTAATGCTCCCTGGAATCTTCTCCGTCCATCAGACATCGAGAGCTCGGCCATGGATTTGGCCTTAAGGGGTCTGCTTTGGTAATGGGAGCAGACCAGAGAAACGTCCATGCAGCACCATCTCAAAACAACAAAGAACAAACCAAATTCAAGTATGAATATAAAATGGACGGCTGATTTGTTTATGCAGCTACCTGCAGCTAAAAAGTACCCCAACTGTTGTGTCATAGGCTACATATTAGCATCAGTTTACCTCAACCCCCAAAGTGCTTTAATTGCAAAATAAAGTGTCTCATGGAAAGAATGAGCCATAAGAAACCACTACTTCACCGCAAAGATCCTCTATAGAATGAGTTTTCTGATCCTTTGCGTGGGAAGTAAAAAATTGAAGCCTTGGAGAAAGTCGCAGCTGGACATGGTCTCCACCCTAAACCAGACAGGTGATTGGCTGTGGGCTGAGTGGGTGGAGCTTGTAGGTGGAGCACATATTTCCCAGGAAACATCTTGCAGGCACTGGGTACAAAGGCCCATCTCGTCAGCTCATCCAAAAAAAATTCCTATGAAAAACAAGCTCAGTGATATCCAAAGATGTAAAAAAAATTTAAAGGTTCTTCATTTCCTTCATGATTTTCTTTTTTTTTAAAAAAAGATAAACTGCATTATGAATTGCATGCTTTTCCATTTTTGCATTTTAATGGTCCAGTTTTAAGGGTTACAAACTAATGGAAAAACAACTAGCAAAAGGGCAAATTCTTCCATTGAACCAAAGTTTAAAAATACTGTTAAACGCCCTTTGACCAACGATGACAGAAACATTGGCGTTTTATGTTTCTGTTCTTTAAAACTCCTTGAAACTGTGAACTATGGGCCTTTTATATTTGTAGAACTTTAACTTTTGAAAGAATTAAATGAAAATGGGATATATTTTCAAGATTTTCTATGTTGATACAGAAAAAGTGTCTCTTTCTAACTTTAGTGTTCAAATTTGCCAAATAGCTTTTATGAATGATAAAAATGTGACCAAAAACTTTTTTACAGATTTTAACATTCATAGTCTTTATCTTGCGTGACACTAATTCATGACCAAAGCAGGGGAATATGTCCTTATGTGCAATTATGTGCAAATACATGACATGTTCTGAATTGCTAACAGTTGTGTTTGAACCTTGAGTACAGCAGGGATGGAATAGATTGTTGGTGGGAGGTTGTAACAGGTGTGCTGTTACTCTGGCAGAATGCAGGATACAGGGAATCGGTCCCCTGGTCTTTTGCCTGTTTACGAATTCCAGTGGCTGCATAATGCCGTTTTGTGCTGTGCCCTTTCTGTGGGCGGTATGCCAAGGTGAAGCTTTGCCCATGCATTCAGTAGAAGCAGACAGTTGTGCCAACCTCCCATTCTCCTTTCGACCCTCCTGTCCTCCAGGTTTAACCGAAACCCTGATGAATGTTAAAGGTTTTACTCAATGTACTGCAGCTGAGAGAATTTCGCTCACCTTGTCTTTTTATGCTCAGAAATGAGTGAGATAAGAATGATACCAAAAGAAAAGCTTGTATGATATAGGAGGTGATTTTTTTTCTATGTAGCCTGAGTTGTGTAGATTTCTCACTGAAATATAATATGGCTGTTCTTTTTATGGAACTTACAGATTTGTTTTTTCTTTTTTAACAGTCGTCTTCCTGTTGTGTATGGGAAATGTAACCAAAACCAAGTTGTGCTATTGTTCATTTTTTAAATGTTATTGTTATTATTATTAATTATTTTGTTTTTTTTATTTTCCAAGCCCTTTTTCCATACCCTGTTTTGTATTTTTTTTATCTTCTCTCTAGAAGTAAGTGGATGATGTGAAGATGTCTGTTAGAACTTGAAGAAAAATGAAAAAAGGGTGTAGTTTTGGGCAAAAATATGGCAAACATGAACATGCTCGAATCGGCATATTTGAATAAGAAATATTAGCAGAGAGAAATCTGTCTGTCCGTCTTCCAGGTACTGATGGTGGTCGGGGTAAGAGCAGAGCCTGATCCCTGTTCCAGACAGCGTGTGGCACAGAACAGCATAACACCCTGGATGGAATGCCAGTGAAAGTGTACTGTACAAAAGCAAAAATATAGTCGAATGCGGTTCAAGAATTGCTAAACAATTGCCCTTGAGACTCACCTGTTTTTAAAAAAATGAGGAATAAGTAGAGAATTATAGTTGAATGCTAGCACCAATGAGGAAGTCCAATGCTTTAAGAATTTGATCGTTTTGATTTGACGCATACCATTAGTGTGTTTCAAATTTGGTATGTCTTCTCAGAAACCTAAAGCTTTAAACTGTTTTCAGATATTCCTGCAAATCTGACCAAAAGAGAAGGAAAAAGGCATAAATTATCATACCGAATAAGAATCCTCCATGGCCAAATAACCAAAGACCCACAGCTGTCCTTGATATTGCCTGATCAAAAGACGCTCACATTGCTGACAAATGATTTTGCATTTTACATGTCAAAAGATGATAATTTATGTTTTTCAACACATCCCTATAACCACTGCTTCCCACATAATTATGAAGTTACTTTTTACTTTGGTTGCCATTAGCTATACATTACCTTACAAAATCAAACAGGAATATATTGCAGCTGGAATATGTTCTGTCCTGATCAGTGCATATGTTAATGTTTCTGTGGTAGCAGTGATTCACCAATGCAAAAAAGCCCATTCTGAGCCATCTGCAGTTTGCTGTCTTGTTTGCTTATTGCTGCTAAAGCTGTACCCTGATTAACCAAACATGACAGCCGTCCAGGTCCTTGTAGAGTGATGTATATCTGCCAGAAGAGTAGCTTATGCATGTTTCTGTGGTTTGGTTTGGTCCAGCAGATAATATAAGCAGATAATGCTCACTGTTAATTGGAAAAACATGTCTGTTAATTAACCATTAGGTAAGTACCATTTCATGGTCCTGACTGTGATTTTGTGGGATTTACTGTTATGTACTTTGAGAAATGGCAGCTTTCTGGTGGTTATTACAATGACCCTGGCTAAAAACATGCCTAGACATTTTTTTTCTGTGTCTTTCATTTATTCAGTTTTCCACAGCGTCTGAAACCAAATAAAACAAAAAGCATTAATTGGAAAATCTCTCGTGTGTTTCTCTACAACCTGTCGAGGTAAACACCGCTAAAAAAATATTTACTGAGCAGCAAAGGAAAAACAAAAGCCATTTTGATTTAGTCAGAATCAGAAGTGTGTCTGTTCCCTGCAGAATACTGCATAAAAACCTGCAAAAAACATTTTAAAACAGTCCTGAATTTTTCCATTTTTCAGATGGGGACAGTTAGAGACTGAACTGTAGATGATGTTTGTGTTTCATGGCCCACAGCCAGAAGGTGCAAAGCAGATATGTGGCCAAAACACTGCTTGTACCTGTGCCAGGACCCAAGGTGCACTGGCTCTGCATAGATTAAATTTAAAATTGCAAGCTATTAAAATGACTGTAGACAAAGACTTTACGCCAAACGTTACATTTAAGCATCTTTCATTAAGTCTCACTTTATGGTCTGCAATGCCAACCTGTAAAATTTAAGACGTGCACGTTTTTCTGCTATGAACAAATTATTGAAAAATTAAACATATGAACATGATGGTTAACCATTATTAATAAATGACTATCAACACACACCAAAGGCCTGGTAAGAAGACGCAGCCCAATGCTGAGGTCCCAGCTGTAAGTGTAGGGGTATTAAATGAGCACCGTCTTCTCTCCCGTAATGTCAAACCAAAGTAATTTTATATCATACATGAATCTATTCTGGGCCCAGGAAACGCCTTTGGCCATATAAGCCCCACCTTCGCTGCTTCTGTCCCTGCCCTGACCCAGATCTGTTTGGATTAGATGATCAGGACCATCAGCACATCATGTCCTAGTCTTCCTGAAGATGTCAGATTGTACAAAAGTGTTTGTCATGAATATGCAGGTGCCTCATTGACAATCAGATGACTCCACCCAGCAGAATCCCTAAACGGCACCACCCCTTTCGACTGACTCATACAGAGGAACCAACTAATGAACCATTATAATTCTCATCCGCTGTCTGTCTTGGGTCCCCACAGTCAAACATCTGCAGTCTCAGCCTGGGAGTTAAGGAAATGTGTACAGGCAGAATGGGACAATTACCTGAATGTCTTGTGGCAAAACATTTAATCCATTGAACGTAATGAGGCAGTTCCCGTGAGCGATGGCAGATGATAAACAGAATAATAAATACAATAATAAACACAATAATCACGTGATAATCGTGAAACACCACTCAGATTTATTACAGCCAGTTTCCTCTGTCACCATACTCACATTTGTAATGGTACTTACTTTGAATTATGACTCACATTACAGCTGATAAATCAGGGGGCATATACACACACACACCCACACTACAGTATATGGACAAAAATATTGGGACATATTAAATTGAGGTGTTTCATTTAGACCCTTTGCCACATGTGTATAAAATCAAGCACCTATCCATGCAGTCAGGTTTACAAACATTTGTGAAAGAATAGGTCGTTCTGAAGAGCTCAGTGAATTCAAGCGTCTTACTGTGATAGGATGCCACATTTGTAATAAGTCAGTTTATGAAATTTCTTCTCTGCTAGATGTTCCATGATCCACTGTAAGTGGTATTATTGTACAGTGGAAGTGTTTGGGAACAACAGAAACACCGCCATGAAGTGGCAGAGCACGTAAAGTAACAGAGCGGGGTCATCGAGTGCTGAGGCACACAGTGAGTAAACGTCACCAAAGCTCTGTTGACTCAATAACTGCTCCAAACTTCCTCTGACATTAACCGCAGCACAAAAATGACAGGAGCTTCATGTTATGGGCTTCCATGGCCGAGGTGCAGCTTGCAAGCCTCACATGGTGTCAATGTTGTCAATTCCTTCATGCTCCAGGAACTGCCTGCATACTTTTGCCACATGAGGCCGGGATTTGTCCTGCACCAGGAGGAACCCAGGACCCACTGCACCAGCGTAGGGTCTGACAGTGGGTCCATGGATTTCATCTCGATACCCAATGGCAGTCAAGGTGCTGTTGTCTAGCCTGTAGAGGTCTGTGTGTCCCTCCATGGACATGCCTCCCCAGACCATCACTGACCAAACCGGTCATGCTGAATAATGTTACAGGCAGCGTAACATTCTCCACGGCTTCTCCAGACCCTTTCATGTCTGTCACATGTGCTCAGGGTGAACCTGCTCTCATCTGTGAAAAGCACAGGGTGCCAGTGACGGACCTGCCAATTCTGGTATTCTATGGCAAATGCCAATCGAGCTCCACAGTGCCAGGCAGTGAGCACAGGGCCCACTAGAGAACATCAGGCCCTCAGGCCACCCTCATGAAGTCTGTTTCTGATTGTTTGGTCAGAGACAGTCACACCAGGTGGCTCCTGGAGGTCATTTTGTAGGGCTCTGGCAGTGCTCATCCTGTTCCTCCTTGCACAAAGAAGCAGATACCAATCCTGCTGATGGGTTAAGGACCTTCTATGGTTCCGTCCAGCTCTCCTAGAGTGACTGCCTGTCTCCTGGAATCTCCTCCATGCCCTTGAGACTGTGCTGGGAAACACAGCAAACCTTCTGGCAATTGGCACATATTGATTTGCCATTATGGAGGAGCTGGACTACCTGTGCAACCTCTGTAGGGTCCAGGTATCGCTTCATGTTACCAGTAGTGACACTGACTGTAGCCAAATGCAACACTAAGAATGCAACTCTGCTTCTTAACCGACCAGGGGCCTGTACTACAAAGCGGGGTTACTGGCTTATTGGGGTAACTTGTCGGATTTAAGGTAATCTGGGCAAAATGTAAGTGAATGAATATGAAGTCCATTTAAACTGTGGTACCTTAAATTCATTGTACAGGCCACTGATCAATATTCCAGAAGCTTAACTGACTTGATACTGTGATTAAAAAGTAGTCCTTTAATTTTTTTGAGCAGTGTGTATATATATATATATATATACAGTATATATGATGAACACAAGGTAATAAGATTGAACTCATTATACCACATTCTCTACATCATCCCATAATCTTTTGCTTCAAAACAGCATCTGCCTCTAAAGCTCTAACAGTCCTCCCACCCAACCCCCCCCCCCCCAGGGTAACCCACCCATTAACCATACCCTGGACTGCGTAGGCTTTGTCTGCTCTGCCCCCCCCTATCCGCCATTGGGTCCTACTCCTTCTCAGACATCACACCTCCAGGCCCAGTTCACAAATGCTTCGTCACTTTTCAAAAACCCACATTACCTTAAATGTTAAAATGTATGATATGTAACAAGTATAACGTTAATTATTTGGGTTATTGCTTATTAGCCTGTATAGTCTTCATAATTGGCTCTCAATTGTCTGAATGACATGCAGGAACATGGCCAGTAGCCGAGCTTAAGTGCGGCAGGATTGACAGGGCTGCTCTCCAGGAGTGACGTCCCGTCTCGATGAGCAGCACCCTCCCATGCTCACGCGCCCCCATCTGCTCCCACCTGATTGCCATTAAGGCTGATAGATGTAACGAGCTCTGCAGCCCACATTAATCCAAAGGCTGATGGCCCCAGCTGAACGCAGCGTAGTCAGGCCTCCAAGCCCTTGAATGTCTGCCTGTTTTTTTGTTTACCTGGCCAGAGAGAGTGATACCACACATTTGGCTATGAGGGCGTTGCCATGGAAATGCAGCACCATAAAGTCCCGGATTCCAAATTAGGCACAGCAGTCCTGCGGCGGCTTCTGACATCCGCGGTGCTGTTAGAAATGGAGGCGACGGCGGAGCCAGTACCGACCCGCAGCGATACACAGCCACTCGTCTGCTGTCCTCCCTTCAGACCAAATGGAAATAAGGTGATTAGCTGTAATTACAGTTTTTATCAGTTTTCATTGATGTTGTAATTGAGGTCGTAGTTTATCAATCCGTTCCGGCTTGGCTCAAGATTCTGGAACATTCAGAGCAGAAAACAGATTAGCCCCCTACCCTGGGTCATCATATGAAAGTGGATGGGACTTGCCTGAATCTGAGAATTGATTGATGAGTTTGTAAAGATGACTCAAAAAATAACATGCATATCAGAAGCTTAGGAGTTATTAAAAAAAACAAAAAAAAACAAGCCAATCACTAAACTGGGTGATTTTTATTTCACACATCTGAGAGGCCAAGCCTCCCCCCAGTGCATTCTGGGTAGATTCTCAGCATGGCAGCCCGCATATTCTGAGAAGTTATAATTACCATGGTGCTGGGGGGGATTCAGTGTAAACCTGTGGAGACTTTGGGATCCATCGAAGGAGGTATTTATGTCAAAAAACAAACAGAGGATGCAGTCTACAGGACACCTGGCCCGCAATATGTCACAGACGCTGCATGTTGACTTGTTCTCAGAAGGCTTATCCTATATTACCTGCCAGTCCCAAAAGGCATTGACTTTGATGGACAGAGCAGACAAGCAAGGGTATGTTTCATCATTAAAATGACTTCAGCCTGCACAAGCCCTGCTACGTAGCATCAAAAGAAAAAAATTAAAGACAGAGAAAAGCCTTTTTGTTGCCTAGGGACTGTGAATCAAGCTCCATTGAGCTCTCAGATGTCAGGCTTGGAAAAGTGCAAACAGGTTAGGGTCTTATCACCTCCAGGGTCCTGCTAAGTGCATGTGAAGTATGTTGATTGGTTCTTCGGCATTTCGCTGCCTGATGATAAAGCAGCATCAGGATATCTCAGTAAGGCTGGTTGTGTGAGCGTAGCTGCCTGGGTAAGCATGCTGCTAGTTCAAAGGTTCCACCCCTTCAAATCCAAGCCCTGGTCATAATTCCTAAAGGAATTGCCCTGGCAATTTGCACATAACTATGGAGACGGTTGCCCGCAGAGTTAGAAACACCCGAAACTCAAGTCAAGGAGCAGATTCTAGCATGAGGAACTTGAAACTGGCAAACGGTTTTATGTTAAGCTGCTAATCTGAGGACTGAACATGTATCTTCAGGAAAAAAACAGCAAAGCAGAGCAAGAGCTCAACAAACAGAAACAGATCTGCTTTTCCTTCCGTTTTCCAGAGGTCTCTCTATTAACATTTGAACATGGAAAAAAACAATAAACCAAATGAATC